AATCTTAGCAAAAACATTAAAACTGGACACATTACATTTCAACCTATCCTCCCTGCCCCTGCCATATCCTTTACTTCCTTTGAAGTTCACACTGTCCGCATATTTAAGCTCCTTTAAGAATTGCCATAATTTATAACCCCCCGGTCATCCAAGGCTATTCATTGAACACTTTTCTGCCTGACTACCCCACTTTCTCTCCTCTGGCACTCCTTCCCTCATACTTAGGGACTTTAACATCCCAATTAACAACCTCAACTGCCCTGATGCCTCCTGTCTGCTCTCTGTAACCTCCTCCTTCGGCCTCACACAGTGGTCTACTTCAGCAACTCATAAAGCAGGAAACACTCTTGACCTCATCTTCACCAATCTCTGTACTACCTCTAATCTCGCCAATGTTCCATTTCCTTTATCTGACCACCATCTGCTGACCTTTGACATCGGCATACTCTGTAGCCAAATTTCACCACCCTCAACTCTCCAATCTCGCAGAAACCTCCACTGTCTTGATCTCCAGTATTTCTCCATGAAACTCCAAACTCTCCTTTAATCCATCTCAAATCTCACCTGCCCTAACTCTGCAACCTCACTCTACAACTCCACTCTCTCCTCTCAACTAGACATCATGGCACCTCCTACATTTAAACACAGTAAGCATTCCCAATTACAACCCTGGGACACCAAGCTGACCCGAGATCTCAAATAATGTTCCAGAACTGCCGATCGCTGTTGGAGAAAGTCTCACTTTGCACCTGACTTCCTCCACTATAAATTTATGCTGCGCTCGTACACTCTAGCTCTTTCCTCTGCAAAAGAAAATTACTTCAACACCCTCATAAGCACACTGTCCCGCCAACCCAAATGCCTATTTCACACTTTTAATGCTCTCCTTCGCCCTGTTGCTCCCCCTTCTCCTACCACACTGTCCGCCTCAAACTTTGCAGCTCACTTCACTGAGAAGATTTCTACAATCAGGGAAGAAATCTCTAACCTTTCTCCCTCCCCTTCCAATACATCTTCCAATGCATCACCCAACCCCACTTACTCCACTGTTCTATGCTCATTCGCACCTACTACAACGGTTTCTGCTCTGCTCCGGTCCTGTTCCCTCGATCCTATTCCCTCATATCTCAGCCGCACTCTGTCTCCCTCTCTTGCTCTTCCTGTCTCTAAAATTTTCAATTTCTCCCTTTCCTTCGGCACATTTCCTTCACCCTTCAAGCATGCAACCATAACGCCAATTCTAAAAAAGCCCAAGCTTGACCCCAACTATCCATCCAACTACCGCCCTATATCGCTACTGCTGTTTTTCTCCAAGATCTTTGAGAGAGTTGTGTATGCGAGATTGACAGACTTCCTTGAATCCAACTCTCTGCTTGACCCACTTCAGTCTGGATTGAAAACAGCTGTGACCAAAGTATCCAACGATTTAATCACTGCTAAATCTCGCGGCCAATACTCTATCCTAATTCTCCTTGATCTTTCTGCTGCCTTTGACACTGTTGATCATCAACAGCTAATTCTCATTCTCCATAATCTCGATCTACAAGATACTGCTCTCTCCTGGTCCTCCTCCTACCTTTTCCAGTGCTTTTTCAGTGTTTCTTTCTCTGGCTCTGCCTCTTCTCCCCAACCCCTCTCTGTTGGTGTTCCCCAAGGTTCTATCCTTGGTCCCCTACTGTTCTCCATCTATACTGCCTCCCTTGGTAAACTCATCAGCTCCTTTGGCTTCCATTATCATTTATATGCAGATGACACACAAATCTACCTGTCTTCTCCTGATCTCTCTCCGTCCCTCTTGACTCGTGTCTCTGACTGCCTCTCTGCGATTTCCAACTGGATCGCTGCTCACTTCCTTAAACTCAACCTGTCCAAAACAGAACTTCTGGTCTTTCCTCCCTCAAGTGTTGCTACTTCCGTGTCTGCCTTCCTCCAAGTCAACGGCGCCACAATCACCTCTACCTTTCAGGCTCGCTGCCTAGGTGTTCTTTTTGACTCCGACCTCTCCTTCACCCCTAATGGTCAGTCAATTGCAAATCCTGCTGCTTCCATCTCAAAAAAAAAATAGTTTGCATAGTTCGCATCCGCCCCTATTTCATACCAGACGCAGCTAAGGTTCTGGTCCATGACGTTGTTCTTTCTCGCTTTCACTACTGCAATCCCCTTCTCAGTGGTCTTACCAGATTGCACCGCTGCAATCTATAATGAATATATATACACACACACATACATACACTGCTGTGTGTGGGTGCCGTTAGTGTGATGTGTGTATGAGGGTGCTGGTAGTGTGCGTGTTTGTGAGGATGCTGTTAGTGTGCTGTGGTTGAGGGTGCTGTTAAATTACTTTAAAGGGACATCATAACCACTAAAAAAAACTCTAGCTTAACTGAGCGTAGAGATCATACCCGCACAGTCTCAATTCTCTGCCATTTAGGAATTAAATCACTTTGTGTATGCAGCATTAGTTACACTTCCTCTGGTTAACAATCACATACCCTCCCTACACACTTACTAAATTTAGTTTTTTAAGTTCCCATATTGCGCAGTGTGTTTAGATTCAATTTATATTTTCGGATCTCCTACTCTGTTAATAGCCTGCAGCAGCCTCCTGTTCATGATTATAGGTCAATTAACAGAGCAGGAGTTAAAAACCTCTAAAGTAAACACACTGTGCTATCACATCTGATTGAAAATTTAAAAAAATTTCCCCCATGAAACTGTGTCAGTCAGGTGAAATGTGAGCTGAGTAAAGAGAAAAAAAATATTTAACTCCTAAATGGCAAAGAATTGAGCATTGATATTACAGGGGCATGATCTATACACCATTAAACCATTCATTAAACTAAAGTTGTTACGGGGAATAACGTATTCCTTTAAAGATCTCCTGGCTGACCCTAGCTCTGTGGAAGCAGTCATATTTAGCCTTTTTTGGTTGGAAACCAAAGTTATCTGCCCAGATCATGCACTAGCTGGAGGTCTGAATCTGTCCCAGTGTATATTTCTCAAATATACAAATTGGCGAGTGAACATTTAGCTTAGCAAGTAGAAATTCACCATGCCCTGGTGAGTGTGCTATGGACACTTCAATGCCTATTTAGCAGTGTTGAACTTAACATTGTAAGCCCTGACTGTGCTGTCCACCAAGGAGTACTTAAAGAGTTACTCCAACCCCTTTAAAATAAATCTGTTTTTTAATTTGCAATGCCCTGTTGGAATCCAGCGTTGGGCAAAGCTTCCCAAAATAGTTTCCACACCACGTCTGATTTTACTGCCTCCCTCGCTAGCTCCTCATACAGAAGCATTTTTATGGACCATTCTCCCCTTCTCAGAGTGCATGCATAGGCATGCGCACGGGGTGTGCGTGTTGTGCCTGGGCACACCTTAATCCCCGCGGCACGCCTATGGAGTGAGACCGGCAGGGGAGATCTCAGGATCCCCCCTGTCGGCTCATGCAGAGCCAGCGCTATCCGAGCGCCGGCTCTGCTCTCAGCCTCCCTCCCCACAGCAGCATGGAGGGAGGGAGGAGAGGACCCGGGGAGCTCAACCAGCAGCTCCGCCGGGTTCCTCTTGCGAGGTCAGAGTGTTGCCGCGGCAATGCTCAGATCTCGCTAGAGTTCACTCTCCACTGGACCACCAGGGATGGCAGCAGCACGATCCCCCCTCCCTACATAAGGTAATAAGGGAGGGGGGATATTAAGTAATGTACCCCCACCTCCACCCCCCACAATCAACCAAACATACAGCACCTACACACACACACACAGGACCCACACACATACAGCACCTTCAAATACAGCACACACACACATACAGCACCCACACACACAGCACCATCAAACACACAACACACAAACAATACCCTCACAAACAGCACCCTCACAAACACACACACACAGCACACTAACAGGACCCTAACAAACACGCACACAAACAGCACTCACACACAGCACCCTTACACACACAACACCCTCACACAGCGCACACACACACACAGCAATGTATGTATGTGTGTATATATATACACACACATACATATACACGCGGCCGTGCACACCCTAATGCAATAGGCTGTGCACGCCTATGAGTACATGTGTGCAGTGTGCCCTGGGATGGGAAAGACGGAGTGTGGGGGTGAGATTTAAACATATAATTTTTTTTTAAAATGGCCCTTTATGGAGGGAGGGGACTTTGAAGCTTCCCCTTGCAGGTCATGCTCCCAGTGCTGCCTGGAAGGATGGAAGCTGATAATGCCTGTGGCCAGTGCTATTTTTGGCACAAAATTGATATTAGAAAGCCTGTGTAAGAAATCTAGGCTGCCTAAGACTCGTGTGCCGGGGTGCAATTAACCCCCTGCATAAATGTTAAAATATCTTTCTATGTGCAATGTTTCAAGCAGAGTCACTGCACAGATTCCTACCACCATGACCACTTCTAAAAGCAGATGTGGTCATGGTACTTGCTTGGAGTAACCCTTTAGAATGGTACTTTAGACACCATAAGTAGAGGCTGTTGTAGTAGTAGTGATGGTGCTAGTAACCTACAGGCACTGACCCCTGGTTTTGTGTCAAAGAATTTGAGTGGTTTAAAACAAGTCAAGCATTGTCCAGGTGCAAGATGCACCATGCTTGCCAGATTTCTATTTCAATTTTGTCCAAATTTGGATGGCATTGGCTGGCTGCATGTGTTATCTGATGCTCTTAGCCAATCAGTGCTGTCCAAATTTGGACAATATAATTTGCTCATGTGGAAGTTAACCTTCTGCATTAGGAATACGGCAACATAATGGCTGGGCCTGAGTACCTTAGGGACCCTTGGTTTGTGTGAAAATTCTCAAAGGGTTTGACAAAGAAACGTAGGTCAGACACTGTTTAGACAGCCCCTTTGAAGATGACTGCTCTCAGAGAGCAAGGGTAAACCAGGAGATATTTTATTATCTTTAAAAAACGTGTTTTCCTTTATTGCAAAAAAAAATAATTTCAGAAACAAAGCGGAGACCACACCAATTATTTGTCTTTTTTATACAGAATTTATTTTTAGACTTAAATTCATGATAAGTTTTAATAAGACTCTGATATGGACAATTAGGTGGAACAGGTCTGGTGATGACAATGTGCGTTTCAGACCAACAATGCCGTAATGATCATAAAACAAATGAACGCAGCTGAACAATTTGTATACTAAACAAAGAACTGAAGAACTGTAAAATTGACACACAACACATCTTTGTTGGAACAACTTTTCAGCCTTTGGCCTTGCAGTACATACAGTATCCGTGGATAATGTTGTACGCATGTTTGCCCAGAAATAACACAACTGGGATCCACTGACGCGATTATCACATTTGGTCCAGGAAAGAAAGGGTGCTGAACACATGGACAGAGACATTTGAGGTAAACAGTAAGAAATGTTCCTGAAATTTGGGCAGGATGTGTGTCCAGTGCTCTTGGACCCCAACAATACAAAAAAAAAAAATAAAGTAATGAAAACCGTGATTTTCTTTTTTTTACGCTTTTATCTCTCCATTTTTGTTTTCCTTCTGAATTTGTATTTGGTTTAGCAGCATGCAGAATCCAGCAAATAGGTTCTTCATTTTAAGACTATTAACTGGCTTGCTATCATATAAAACGCAGGAGATGTAGCACAGAGGACCTCCTGCTCTCCATGTGTGCAGTTCAGACCTGCTCCATGGTACAGTCACCCCAAAATCATCAGGAGCCTCCTAGTGTTTTGCTTTACAGAACATGGACCACAGCAAATGAGCTAGATACACAACTGATTTCTGAACACGTCCCTCTGCAACAGATCGATCAAGTGGTATACATTACATTGTATCAAAACATTTAACATTCCTTTTACATGTCAACTTTAAATTTTGGTTGGAGGTGTAACCAGACCAGAGCAGAACACAATGCCTTGTCCTACAAAGATAGGTATTTGTCCACCAGGATGTGTTGAACTTCAGTGTATTAAAAAATGGTGGGACAACAGGATTGCCAGTATAACCTGGTTAAAGTTCTTATACCTCTGAGTAATGGCCATTGAGTATGAAGAATTATAACAGAGGGGAACTTTCAATTTGGCAAATAAACTGCAGAATCCACAGTCTCTATGGTTTTCGGTTTGTAGAATGAGACAGAAAGATCTAAAATAAGGGTCGGGAATACAGGTTATGCCGCTGGTTACACCTCGGCCATCAATATAAGACCCACATTACATACCCTTCTCCATAAAAGAACATGTTTTGTTCATCTAAAAGCATTTTTGCTGTCTTTTTTTTTTCCTTTGTACATGAAAAAAAAACAACGCAATCTCTTTCTGGAGCCCCATTCCAAGTTTAACTAACACTAGGACAAAGAGACACTGAGCACACGATACCTGGTCTATGTGGTAAAATTAGACATGAGGTATTGTGAAACAAGAACCTTTTTTTTTTTTTCTTTTTTTTTTTGGAATAGAGCAGTAATCACATTAAGGTAAAAATTGATCACATACCAAACCTACAAAAAAACCATGATGTTCATAATATAATTTTCTATGAGAAAATTCAATTCTAGAAAATGGCAGTATTTGACATTATATAAACAAAAACAAAAAAAAGAAAAAGGAAAAAAAAAGAAGAAAACATAAAACAAAATAAGGACTAATCCACACAATAGCAGCAAAACACAATGACATAGATACAGAAAAGCACTGTAAAATTTGTTTTTCCAAAACGGTGCTGGGAACATTTTTATAGCAGCTTAAATGAAACTGGAGAACAACTCCATTTTTTTTTCTCCTTAATTTTACAATCATTTTTAAGGGCAAGTTCTCACATATATAGCTCATTAAATACTCCTATCATAATTCCATCCTGTTTTCCATCAAAACTATTCTCTACGATAAAAAAAAGGACATGATACAGCCATGTTGTGCAAATTTCCTACTTTTTTTGGGGGGTGGAAATACGAACAAAATAAAAAAGGGGAAATTCTTTCAAATTGATTCATTTCATTTTAAATATACCAAATCCACAACTTATCTATGCAGCATCGTGGCCCCTAACTGGGCTTTTAATGCTGTGTTTATTCTCTCCATCATTGAGGGGTATAACGGTAATTATTCAATAAAAAAAAGGGAAATTGCATTTTTCATTTTACAGATTATACTGGCCTTGTGCGGGATATTCTGCAATAAATATTTATTTTAGCCTTAGCTATAAATTATCATAGTTTAGTGTTTAAAAAAAAAAAAAAGCTTTCGTTCAATATTAACTTGAGATAAAGCCTTTTAAAAAAAAAAAAATCTTGCTCTTTATGTGAACACATAAAGCCACAAATTAAACCTGCACCAACATAATTTCTAAATTTCACCACTTCTACAAAGACACACAGAAGCAGTTTATGGTGCAAAAGCTAAATTATCCTATTTTTTTTTTTTTTTTATCCTAAGGAAAAAAAAAACAAACAAAAACAAAAAAACTGAAAGCACTCGCTTTGCATCTGCGGTTGCATAAAAGCACCAAATGTATTTCCAAACCATTCCGTTTTGTTGATTCCCACGTAAAAACAGCATTATTTGCCATACTTAATAGACCCAAAGTGCTTTGAAATAGAATGGTATTAGAATCTAGAACAATCTAGGCTGTGGATTTAACCCGACACGTATAGGCTTCAGAACCACTGAATGATACGCAGGCAGCTAAAACAAAATGAAGATTATAAAAATATAATATATTATGTTCACTATGTCCGTTTCTCTTTATAATAGAGTATAATATGGGCATTCAACTATACCTCGAGGCAATTCTAGACTGGCACCTTCCAAGCCCTATACACAGGTAATCCACAGACGCAAATGATTAACATATAGTAATACACTATACTAAAGATACACTATTGTAATTTTTACAGAAGGGTTCGCAACCCTCTGCGTTGCAGTAACCATTTTTAAAGTGAAGAGGATATTCGACTACAATAAAATAGAAAAATGAGTAATAAAGTGACTACATGCAACAGCAAGCAAGATATAGACGCCTAAACTGCATGAAAGGGACAGATATTTTAGGAAAATAAAGATATATATATTTATATATTTCTATCTAAAAACAACCTCTTCTACTTAAAAAATGGCTATATTGCATGTAATGAATCAAAACTAGTACCTCCCCTGGAGACTTTTCTCATGTGTTAATGCCTATTTTTACAACATAAAGACATGAACACTATAAAAATAAAACTAAGTGATTATTGTCTTATAAAAATCCTCTTTTTGTAGCACAAACCCGCAGAGATTTATGCAAATACTATTTTTTCTTGTTTTTTTTTTTAAACTTTTTTTTGTGAAAAGTTTTTGGGTGTTATTTGATTTTTGTTGTTTAAGGTCACAGGTGGAACAGTCAGAAGAAGTGATGTTCGCCTGCCTGTTTTTTTGTTTGTTTGTTTTTTTTTACAATGTCCAGAGGTTTGGCTCCAAGTGATGAGCCTGGTCGCACTTCAATCCAAGAAGCCTTTGCCATGCGCACTCCATGGTGAAATAAGTCAGTGACACAAGTGTATCAAATGTTCACATCCCTAACATCCGTTGGGGTGCAGGAAAGGTCCGCTTCGTCGACCACTGTCTTTGTGTCTGTGGACAAACTGTGTGGCTGTTGTGCTTGGCGCAAGCTCGATTCCAGAAGAGATTCAATCTGTTCTTGGCATGCCCGTAAACAGTCCTTGGATAAAGAAAGGAGACGTGAAATGTTACCATGGGTGATACATGTATACCTTCCAAAACAAACTCAACTGAAACATTTTGTGTGTTTTTAAGTAGATACAACAGGTCTGTGCTGCTAAAAGAAGTGGGGCAACGTTTTAAAGAGGATAATTTTCCATGAAACCAGTGTAACAAGTAGGTACATTCTTTTGATTTTTATTAACTCTGACCCAGTTTTCTGCTACCAAAACCTTTATAAAACACAGCACAAGGAGAATCAGGAATCAATGTTACATGTTCCGACTTTTAACTCTTGTTAAACAAAATTGCTATTTCAACCCACATGATGAGAAGTTCACCAAATTTCTGAGCTGAATACCCTTTGTCTTTATGTAAGTTTCAACTAACCCATTGTACAGCGCTACGGAATCTGATGGCGCTATATAAATAATAAAATAATGATAATAATAATAACAATAATAAAGGGGCTCAATTCAGGATGTGGTAATGGACATATTACCACAAGAGAAACTCACCAAATTCAACTTGCTTTAACCCCTTAAGGACCAAACTTGTGGAATAAAATGGAATCATGACATGTCACACATGTCATGTGTCCTTAAGGGGTTAAATACAACATAGTTTGGCTTGCTGGCACAGCACAGCAGCAATGTCTGTCAATTTTAGGAAGACGGGATTCCGACTCCAGAGAATGAATTGGGTCTCTGTAATACGCAATGGGTTTATGGACCAATGCTAACCCTATATATTTCCAATGGTAATATAAGGAGATTTAAAAAAAAAAAAAAAAAAAGATGTCAAACCATTTTTTACCAGTGTTAACTCAAACAAGGCAATGGTATTGGAAACACTTTTAATTTCCACCGACTGTATAAGCTGATACGTTTGCAAGCATATTTCTGTTTAATACACAGCTTTAAGTACAGCATGTGTTGGAAGTGGATAAGTAGAAAATCTAGCCACAAGCATCTGTTTCTAATTTGGTGAATTTCTTCAATAGAGTTACTTAAAGAGACAGTCATCCACAAAATGCATATAAAATGCAAGCAAATGTCCTCAGCAAGTGAATACATTGTATTTATCAAAATTTGTTTCCTACGAGGTGCATGCTAATGTGCACCTAATGGCTTCACACAACGTACACCACCGGGAGAACGTTCTTGCATAACATCCGTAACCCTGCTCCAAGTCTGCGAAGGTTGGTGCTGGAAGGTTTTGTCTACCCAGCTCTTTTCGTACCTTTTAATAACTTTATGCAGAGAGATACATTTTCTCTCAATCTGTTTCACAGTTGTGTTTTGTCTTCCAACACACTTTTTATATTGGTACATGGCTGACCTTTGCTAATTATTATTATTATTTTATTATTTATATAGCGCCATCAGATTCCGTAGCGCTGTACAAATCACAGTACATTATGCTACTTTCAATATTTAAAGAACATCAGAACCCCACATTTGGAAACAATAGACAACAAAGCCCATCTAATCCTTTGAAACATCCAGTGTGTTTAGTCACAGAGAAGGCTAGTTGCACTTTCCCCAAGTGTAGATCTGATCATTATTTGCCTACAGTTTACATGAAATTCCCTTAAATTTCATATTACCCCCAGTATTATAACAAACCTGCTCTTGGATAAACAAACACTGTAACAATGATCTTTTTACCAGTAGCCCTAACAATATTTCCTAATCCCCAGTGAAGTGCGTACATTGTCCTACATAGGAGACCTCTACAGTCAGAAGCAAAAATCGCTGGGACAGGAACAACAGAACACTTAAGATTTGCTTTGAAATTTTGTGCCAACAACTTTTCTGCTTCGCTGATCAGATTTTTGCTGCCCATGGAGTGCTCAGTTTTAAGCCCTTTCTAGATTAATTACATGATTCAAAGCCAACTATCCCTGGCTAATAGTTCCTGCGGCAGGGACATTTTATGCCAACCACAGTGCAGTGGATTAGACTGTGTCAGGAGACAGACAGGAAAATGAAAAAAAACATGCAATTCTCTGTGAAAAGCAAGGACTTGCTTATAGCAGCAGATATACTAAAAATATGCAAATGTACCAGAATTAAGAGGATTAAAGCTTTTTAGATATATCAAGAAAACAAATATAACATTTCTTAGAAATTTAGGATTAAAAAAACAAAACAAAAAAACCACAGAGCTCCTTATCCATTCAAATAAAGGCTTGAATCTACCTATAATTACTGAAAACCACTATGTAAATTAAAGACCAAAAGAGCAAATTTAGATAAAACCTCCTAATCAGCAAAATTGACAATTTTGCTAGTTTGGCCTTAATTTTACAGTTTTTCTTTCTTTCTTTGCAATTTCAGGTTAATTGAATAAACCAGAGTCTGCTTCCTTAATGCAATTTTTTTTCTTCCTATGTCGTAACTCCTGAGGTGTGTGCCTCGTTAACCAGTGCCTGTAGACCTCACAAGGTCTTTTTAATGCTTTCTTTTAGTGGGCAGAGGCATTGTTAGAGAACAAAGTGGAGGTTGACCCCAACTTCATAGCATTATGCTACGGATCACTGACTTCCACTCTTCCTTGTGAAATTCTTTCCTGGCCTCATTCACTGTAGGGAATGTTCAGTGTTCTCAAGTTACCAAGGTGCAACTCTACAAGGCCAGAGGGCACAAGGAGAATGCTGATGGCAGCACCCCTCCTGCTGGGACGGAATACCAGCTACTATAAACTAAATGAGATCATTAAAGACCGCTTAACAAAGGTCCTTCACACGGTACAGGACAATAGAATCCTGGGAAGTCTTCCATTCAAGGTTAGAGATGCCACCAAGTCACTCTTTCCTAAAATCTTCACATCTTGCGAGTCGTCTCCCCCACATATGTGCTCTTCACGAACTTAATGATGTTTACGAAGACAGAGATTTTAGCAGAATAATTGTATCTGCTTGCTAATCATCTGGTAGCACATTGTCAAACAGGATTATTCCATTAACTGACAACTGTGAAGGACTACCCATATATCTCTGTACAGAAATAAAACTTATCTGACCTCCAAAGTCTTATTTGTGTCACATCATGTATATTATCTAATCGGAGGACTAAGAAGCCATCGATTCCCAACTTTTGTTGTTCTCCTATCCCTCCACAGCCTGGTTCTAGAGTGATGGCAGCTGCAGTATGATTGTCTAATGCCTAGCAACTGTCCAAACATAAAATTTTGGATACATAAATAGTTTTCACCAAGTTGTTTTAGATTACCCTAAAATTTGTTGTTTGCCCTATGCCCAACAAAACAAAACAGATAAAAAAATAATGACTTACCGGGTCGCATTTGATGACTTGTGATAAGAAAACAGTGAGGTGTTGAGAAGAGAGCACACTGTCCGTGTTCCCCAAATTCAGACCCTGTACTGCCGCCACCACGCTGCCCGCTGCAACCATGGAAGGGGGATTTGATATAAACTTTACATCTAAAAAGGAGACAGTAAGGAAAAAAATACAAATGTTAAAATGAGTGGGATGCGTATTGCAATCCAAGTCTTACATTTTAAAAGCCTTTTATAAAACGAAATGTATCCTAATTGCCAGCACAGAGAAAGCTATGGTTTAATGTGATTACTGTTTTTAGTCTCAGACTATGCATTATTTAAAGTTTGGAAATTCATCCAGTTGTCTTTTTTCCACAAACATTTTGTGCTAAAATGGTAATTTAGTAATTTTTTATACAAAAACCTCTAATTCCAAAGAGTAGCATGTATCGCATCCTCTATTCAACGGGCTAGTGCAATGCGAGGAACAAAAGTCATCACACTTTTATGCCTCTGTTGACACTCCTTTTTTTCGCTTCGCAGCTTATTCAATGTGACCTGGTAATGCACTTTTTACTTCTTAGTTCCATTCAGACTCGGCATTGAGATTTAAAGAGTCTTGATTGTCTCAAAGGTCCCAATCTGACAGCAAGCAGACGGTCATAAATATCTTAATGCTTTTGACAAACCAGCAGTTGCCCACACTAGCCATATTCACACCTTAGAAATCCTTTGTAAGTATCTGACTGCTAGTCACTGGCTCACATCCATCTTGACAACACAGGCTGAATATAATAAACCAGGGCTAAGTGTCTGGGGTCTAAGAACAGTCAGTAATCAGTTGCACTCTGATATGACACAATACCACTACGGCACTGGGACCCTATCCAAGCTGCACTGCTGTAGGTCTTTACAAAGCCAGCCTTGTGTTTCCTGTTAAGGCAATGCAACTCCAATACAGGGTCTCATGCTGTACTCTTAGGAATATTTCAGCTTTTTAAAAAACACTTTTTACCCTTCAGCCACACAAGGACGTTTAAAATGTATTAATTGAGTCAGTCAGTCAATCAGGCCGATTGGCATAAGATCATTTCGATAACTACCCTGCCTCACGAACCATAGTGCGATTACGCGGAATACAGTCTACCCCTGCTGCTTTGGGATGACAGCTTCCATGAAGGAACAGCGTCTGTGACTGAAGGTGATATCTAATCCATCATCAAAAACAACGCAGTGAAAACAGTTTTAAAAAGCCGCAAAGTATAATAATCAAAGCTGACCTGGTAGTGCCTCCATAACACTGAACTAGTTTTCTTTCTCGGTTGGAAATTCCGAAATGTATTCAAAACAAGCTGAGCATTTTGGGTCATGCAGATTCAGACATATGCCTCTGGGGTGGAATCCACACCCCCATGGAAGTCGCTAAGGAGATTTTGTGACTCGACAATTAAATGTAAGAATGTGTCAGGCATTAAGAGATTTATAATACAAGGTGAAACTAATATTTCACTTGTTTCAATCAACATAATCATCACGTAACGCACCACACTGTCCTAAAATAGTCAGAATTAATTTAAAGGAAGAATCAGGAGCACAGGATCTGTTGCTATATTATATATCTGCCATGATTGCTGGAAACATCTGTCCTTTGATATATGTGTAAGATTCTGCTCTGAGATCAAACAACAGCGGATACATAACACTGGATGAATCTCTAGTGTATATAGCACTTTCTGCACGTCATAGCCACAGATTTATCTGTTAAAAGTGGGAGTTTTCTTAATAAAATATATTTTTTAAGAACTGGACAAAAAAAAAAAAACAATATCACACACACACAACTTTTCTAGTTTAAGTTCTATTGGCCTATGAAACAAATAAATTTTTTTTTGTTTTAATCTCATCTCCCTGCGTCTTGCACCCTGACAGTACTGAACAGATCACTTAATGCTGTGAGCAGTTACTTTCATTCATCCTGCCTCAATAGCAAGAGAACAAAACTCAGAGCTGTGACTGTGGGTCACCATTTGTCACCAATTTAGAATAAGGAGACGAGTTTTGGAAAACTACATTCACAGAAAAGAAAGAATACGGTTTTACTGTACAGATCGCCGAGGAACATTCAGGACAAACAATAACAAACATTCAAACAAACAAACAAACAAACCTTAAAAAGGTTCAAACATACAGCTTTGAGAAGGGTTGGGGATTACAATACATATTACAGGTATGTGTCTCACCTTTAAAAAAGTATTTACATATGACACAAAACATCTAAAATTTATACAAATCACCTGTTCCAGTGGTATGTGAAGAACGTGTCTGAAAGGCAAATTTATTGTTTACTAGACAGGCTATCATTCTTAAAAATTCTTCCGTCAAGCATTTTTCTATTTGTGTCATTTGTACATACATTTTTAAAGATATTTAACCTTTTCATTTAATAAAAATTTTTATTTTTTAAAAAAGACATCTTTATTTAGCAATACCAGTGAGATTCCTTCTCCATCTTCCCTCATCCCCTTGAATATTTTAGGGATACCCCCTGCGGTCCTCACATAATTATTGCTTGCATTCGGCACCTTGTACACTGGTCTGTCTACAATTGCCTGCTGCCTATTTGGGCCACTCTAAAAAAACAGCAGATTTTTTTTTGTTATGTTCAGTAAGGAATTATCTGTGGCAGAGGTCACTAATTTTAGCATATTAATCAAGGGGCCTCCGCTCTGTAATTGGATGCCTGCAAGTGAAGAGTGTGTCACTATTGTCACAATCTATTGCCTCATCTTGTGCTGTTGAACGCTCAGAAACAAGAGAGAGGCAGCGAGAAGAATTGGAGCTGACACGGACACAAAAGAGAAGGGAGCTGCACACAGGCAGCCTATCTGAGACTTCATCCAAAGAGAATAAACAACTTTAGCGTTGTAAAAAGAAAGAAAAACTGGGGAAAAAAAAAAAGTTTACCACCATGAAGGAGTAGGGAGCAGCCTGTAGGCCCTGCCGCACTAAAAAAAAAAAAGGAAAATAAAAAAAATATTCCCGTCCAGACAAGTTTACCTCCTCCTCTTCTTTGAAAGCTGTTCATTCTGTCTAAGAGCTGGGGAGCTATGAATGAAAAAAAAAACTACTTTTCATTCAGCCAAATCGAATGTGAGTCCATCAATCAGTGGAGAAATAGGCAAGTGGCAGAGACGAGCCACATTACTCAAAGTGAAGGTGTATACAAGGCTTTGTGTACAATAGGGTTTCTTGGAAAGAAAACTCGTATTTGTTTAGATAACGAGCCGGACACAATCAAATGCTGATCCTTTATTATTGGAAAGGTTAAAAGACTATGGTTATTTTTTTGCTCTCTCTCTCTTTTTTTCCATGTGGCACATGTCCAAGCCTAGTCATTAAACGTAATTATGTTCTAAACTTCAAACAAAGCAAATTTTTCTGATTGCCCTTTTAATGGTTTGTGATATCAAGCCTATGTATTAAAACCTGCGCTACTACAAGGACAGAACACGTATCTTAGAAACACTGGTAGTGTGCGGAGGGAGAGGCTTGCAGAGGTCTTTACAAAACCTTGGATGATGATAACGATGGAAGAATGCGGTTGAGTCTGTTCCCCAGAAGGTTTTTGCCAGGTTTAACCATGCTGATGTCAGGTCAAGCAGCATAGAGGAATGAGCCAAGGGGTTTTAGCAAGTACAGTGAATGGCATTTACGTAACACCTTTAGGGTTATTTACTAGACAAGGGATAGACAACCTTCAGCACTCCAGGTGTTGTGGACTACACCCCCCACAATGCTCTCACACCCATAATGCTGGCAAAGCATCATGGGAAGTGTAGTCCAAAACAACTGGAGTGCCGAAGGTTGCCTATGCCTGTAACAAGATCATAAATCATGGTTCTCCAAACTCTGACTACAACTCCCATGATTCTCTGGATATCTATTTCAATCAATGAATCGTGGGAATTGTAGTTCAGCAAAATCTGGAGGGTCAGAGTTTGGAGAACCCTGCCTTAAATTGTAATGACCAAACTAGCAGAGTTGGAAGCAGGTCTAATCTGGCCAATTTGGGCCTAAAATGTGAAATTTCATGGTCATTCCCAGACAATTCACGGTTCCCAAAATTTTATTAAATTAAATCTTAAGTGCGAAACATAGGCTGAATTAGCCACGCTGTGACTACATTCGAGATTTTTTTCAGATCAGCTAGATTAATCTTAATTTTACAATTTGGATTCAGTTCTGCTATATGTTCCACCGGTGATCTCCGTAGGTCACTCCTGCTGTAGTTGAACCTGCTACTCTAGAACAGCTGAAATATATACTATTAAGCAGAGCTCCACATCTAACCAGATATGGTTATTGGTTGATGGCCATGGTTCTATAGTCATGGTGCTGATTTAATAGTTTTCAAAACAGCATTGCAAATTTTTCACACTAAGTAAAGTTCTCTCTAATCAAAATTAAGACCAAAAACCTCAAGAGCAATGTTATATGATTTTAGGCTGTTTTAGATTTTCTGTAAACTGTAATACAGTTTAGTTTGTTTTGCTGCCAGTAAACTAGCTATTCCTTTAGCTAATAATGATCTTTAATTGTACCTCTAAATAAGTGGTTATATCACGTGCCAAAGAGCCCATTCATAACCCAATACCAAAGGCAAGGCTCACAGCTGTTTTGTTGTAATGACCACCAACAGGTAGATTTTCTTTCTGGCTATCAGTGTTCACAATTATAGCCTAGGTTAGTTTGCAATATTATAAAGTACAGCAGAATACGTTAATGCAATATAAATGCCAATAATATAAAAAAAAACATTTTTTTTAAAGGGAGATTAATGTAAAATTGATAATTCTGGGATGGACATAACGCAGTATATATATATATATATATAAAAATAATAAGTACATATTATAGGTTCCCCTCATTAAATCACTGATCTTGTACCCTTGCATTTACCGGTAAAATCAGGCCAAAATGATTTGTGACACTGGAGGTTCAGAATGTAAAAATAAACTATTATAAAAAAAAATAAAAGGGCACATTATCTAAAGTGACCTGCTTTATACTGCTCAAACATTTTTTTTTTTTTTGGTAATTTCCATGAAACTTCAAGCAGGTGATTTAAGCAATGACAACGCATACGACCCAGCCTTTAACAACAAGGACATAGATCAAATACCGGAATCTTAACAATCTTGAAACCTTTGAACTACTCTGACTGCAATAGGGTTCACTGGTCACATCAGCACAAAACAGGTCAAGCAGGCAGATTGAGGTATCAACACATCTCTTTCTCTTAAAGAGGCAACCGGGCCTACTTGACTTTGGGACATTGTCAGACAATGCAGAGCTGCGGTACACAAAGAGTTAACAGCAACACCCAAGCAGCTTACAAATGCAGGAGACAAAGGGTGGAAAACTCACTCCAGTGGGATCGTGTTCGACTGTGTGCAATCAGTTGTGATTACAAAAACATGTTTTGTGACATTCCAGAAGGACAGTCTGTGACTTTTTGCCACTAGAACTTTCGGCGGTGATGACGAGGGCCAACAAAATTATATCCCTCAAGATAAATTTAAAAACAAATCATTAATCATAAGTTAGCAGGAGGAAATAAAAGTAAGCCAATCCACCGACATCAACCTAAGATGTGGTCATTGGTAAAGAAAGTTTGTATACCCCACCTTCGAGAGGCCAGACAAGAAATGGTTAACATTAGCAGAACTGAGTTGCTGCCCCTTTCTGTTAGATTCCTAAAAGCAAGGTTATTAAATTATTTTTTTCAAACAGATTTATATAAAAAAAAAAAATGTAATATAGGACACTTTTAATTCATTTGTAACCAGGAGTTTTGCAATGTCTTAATGTTAACACTACATATGTAGAGAGAAAACATTTCCCCTGATTGCGCCCCTGGAACACGTGACAAAGGATAAGCTTTAGACCAGGGAAGACGTCAGGAGCGATTGTCCTCAGGGGGTGTCAATTTCAGCAACACTGGAAGAAGTGTGTGTGCATGCGCAGGACCTTGGTGCTCATCATTAGCATACAATGATATGCATGGCTGAACCAACAGCTCTCAATGGCTGGGGCCCCACAGTTATAATGGGACTTGTTTACCTACTACACAAAGTAATTGTTCCCTGCTGCCCAGTGATAGACTGGGTAAACAAAAGCTACACAGTCAGATTTTATGCCAATTACATCCAATTAAAAATGCATTAAATGAGACCTAAACAACAATGAATTAAACAGAAAAAAAAACAACAGAGGCAACAGCATTTCTGAGCAAATTAATTATTTAAACCAGGGTATCGCTGGTGAATATTAACAAAGGGGCAGCACCCTTAGACGTGGATTCCATGAACAAAGCAATTTAAAAAAAAAATATTATAAAAAAAAATAAGGAGATTTTACAGAGCCTTCCAGCTCATCGTAGAGTTTGAAACTTACCTTGTCCATCATATTTTAACCCCCAAGGTCAGTAATCCACATTGTAACATGAGGCCTTTATGTGCATTTACAGTAAACATCATGATCATCATGGCTAGTGAGGCCTTTCCAGAACATTCCTTATAACACCCGTACCTGTAGCGCAGAGAGCCACAAAAGTCTGGGCGTGTTTACGGATGATCTGCTTGGTGTCCTCGTTCAGTGACATTTTGTTAAGAAAATGTTCAATAAAACCGTGGGGCGTTACGGAGGCCATGTCCCATTTCAACTTGTTGAGAATCAGCAGCTCCATTAACTAGAAAAAAAGACGAAATAAGAAAGAAATGGACGGACATTTGTGAGAATGAGCGATGACAAGCCACAGAAATAACACTGATCAATAAAATAGCGCAATATGTACAAAAAGTTATATACTATGTTCCATTGTACACAGAATGGCATCTACACATGGAACTGCAAGAAAACTTGTCTGTTCTGGACTTAGTATATTGTACAGCGCTACGGAATCTGATGGCGCTATATAAATATAATAATAATAATATATATATATATTTTTTTTATGCTTGTTACAACAATTACCAAAGAACGCCAAAGACACTAGGAAACAATAAATATGATACTACTGCCTCCTGCTGGATGACAATATATAAAAGCACATTTGGAGCACAGTTGTCAAGATAAGACTTACTAACTATGCCAAAAACACAATTTTACGAATAAAATATCTGGAATGAAAATACATGAGACAATAAGAACATTCTGAGAGCACAGTATATTTAGCCTTATGTCATACAATATGTTTTAAGAACCTGTGATGGCATTAAATTGTTTGAGTTTGTAGATAAAGCTATAAAACTAGAACCTTAATACTTATTATAGTTGTTTAACTAAATTTTTGTTTAATTAATGAAAGGATGGAAAATGCCAAATACTGATTTTTACCAATTTATTTTAAGGACTTCTTTACCCCCTTCTCTATGACGCTTTCCCATAAAATACTGGAACTGATTCCAGGCTAATTATGTGGCTAGACCTTCTTGTCTCTTCACACATATCACAGAATATATATTATTATAATTAAGAGAATCAGCTGCCTGTCTCTAAGCACCCGTCACAGAGAACAGTGCTCAAAGCAGCAGCTGTTTTTCAAACCGAACCGTAGGGAAATACACAAGTCAAGTCCATTAATGTTAATGTATAGCTTTAAAGGGCCACTACAGTCCGAAACTTCCAGCGTGATTCTGAAAATTCACGTTATCCAGAGCAGCAATTGCAAATCATTTCCTCAGTGCACATACACCATATGACCATATGGGGGCGCCGCACACCATGATGAGCGGAGCACGCTGCATGTGGTACAAGCATGGTGTTCTTACATTGTCTGTGATTTCAAAAGGAAAATTTATTGTTTCACTTTTCTCTACTTTCTCTTTCTGTATGAGATACCAAAAACATTCATTCACACACACGACAGTTAGAAATACGCGCTTATAGTACAGATGTATAAAAACACGCACGCAGATTTATCTTTAATATACCGCTACGAGAATACATATTAATATACACAGACACAATGTACCCAACGTGTGAATGCATGTGTCAATATGTTGCAGTCGCCAGAAGTAAGGGACAGGCTCTTATCTCCAGCTGCGGACACAAGGCAGCTAGCAGCCATAAAATAGTAGCCAAACTTTTTCCGAAAGTGCCAGGTAAACAGACGTGCAGCGTTCACAGACTAAATTCGCTCAATCATAGTAAACAGGAAATTACCAATAGTTCCTCTGGCCTGATGGAATTATCTGTGTAAATACATAGTTTTTCTGCAGTTAGGGGGACGGTTTCCTTCATTTTAGAGGCCAGGAACATGCAAGTTGCCCCAAGCAGTTGCAATCTGCTCTTCCTTAGGGGTTCAACAGACAAGAATCTGTCCAGGTAGTTCATTGCAAGTGGAAAGACCTCTTCTTCACACTTCTGTTCTTCGCAGACCTTAACAAACACAAGGTGGGGAAAAAAAAATGTTACTAAAAGCTGGATTAGAAACCAGTCATTATAACATGTCAGCAACAGGCAGCCCAAATGAATATTACCATGCATTACATATACATACAGTATATATATATTTAATTATATTTACTAATGGAGTTGTGGCTACATAAAATTCCATGTTGTCTTGTAACTAAGTACTGAATAAGCTGCAGATGATGCACAGCAATTTGTTTGTGTGTATAATAAAAAATAAAAACTTTTTGTGCAATATATAAATATGCCAAAACAGTGTATTAGGGGTCAAATAGGACTAAAAAAATTAATAATTCAGTGATGGTTTATTCCCTAACTAGTAGTTTTTCAACTATATAAAAAAAAAAAAAAAGTAAGAAAAAAAGTTCAGATGACCATGCTTTGGGAGCTGCATGCTAATTCATTTCACAGTGAATTCCAGAATTCGAATGAAATGTAACTCTGTCTTGATAAAAGTATCCCGATTTTAGGGTGAGCAGCAGGTTACTGACAGACAATGCAGCTGTGCTTCCTCTGCTCCATGTGACGAATGGGGGTTCGGGGGGACGGTAATGGGGGGTCTTGCATTTATGGCCGCCTCCCCGGCCACACATTATCATCGCCCGTGGGCTAATTAGTGCCAGAAAGCAGGAAGATGGCGCAGCCGGTTCTGTATACGTGTACATACCGTGTACTAGGGGTGAAAGTGACCGGGAGAAGGGCATAGGGGTGACCCGGGGCAGGAAGAGGGAGGCTTCTCTGAGACCTCACTGGGGTGTAAATCCTCTAAAAAAAAAACCTTTACTCATGGATGAGACCCCCCACATTGGGAGTGCTCAGGGCATGGTAGGTAAAGTCACCCTGGCACAATGGGTGCTAGTGCCCTCAATCAGAGTACACTGACCCCAGGAGAGTATGCCTCCCAGCACCCCTTCTTATAGTGTGTGTACCTCTACTCATATTGTCTGCCCCCCACTTAAAGTGCCTGTCCCCCCCTACTTATAGTGTCTGTGTGAGGGCTGGGGGTATGAGCAAGCCACATGGTCTCATTGTGTGGGTTCCTGGCCCCTTCATTGAGAGATTGCATGGTGGTGGCATCTGAGGGTGGGCATGATTCAGCAGACCTCCTGGGTATGTGCCCATGTGGGTTTGTGAGATTCCTCTCAGACAGTTTATACAAAGGGTTCCTGAGTTTGGGGGTCCCTCCATGACCTGGGGATGGGGGGAGGATCCTTTATACATAGGGTTCTTGTGTTAGGGGGTGCATGTGGTGTTTGGGGGGTCTCCCATAGCCCTGGGGTTCAGGGTAAGAAATGAACAAACCTCCAGCATCCAGGTGGCCACAATCTTCCTCATGTAGGGCAGGATCTCTCTCTGCACACACTTGAAGTAGGTCATGGAGGGGCAGGAGGTCTCCTCGGCTTTGAGCATGGTGTGGAGGACCCGGTCGGTCAGTAGGTTTTTATCCAGGTAGGCTCTCCGGATGGTGTCCACCTCACAGCACAGCAGCTCCATGTCTGCCTTCCCTGCAGGAGCCCCAGAGCCAGGGATGTGAGCAGGAGGAGGAGAGCAGATCAAAGCAGCCAAGAGAGAAAGAGGAATAGCATGAGGGGCCAGGCTCAGCTTAAACATGTCCCATAGGCCGGCCTCCCCACCATCAGCCCGGCCTGGGGGAGGAGGCAGAGCAACTCTCTGGACACACTTCATCAATGGGCCCATGGGGGACACAAAGCACGGGACCCCCCCTAATTCTTAATGGGTCCGTGTGCACCCGGGGCAGGGGGAGGGAGGGGGACCCCCACAATCCTTAATTAGACCGGGAGGGAGGGGAACCTATAACATGCTCAGTGCCATGAGTGGGAGGGCAGCATGGCATGGGGTGCATAAACATAGGGCATTATAGGGGGGAGGGGACTCTATAATATGCCATGTGCTGAGTGCCATGAGTGGGAGGGCAGCATGCCATGGGGTGCATAAACATAGGGCATTATAGGGGGGAGGGGACCCTATAATATGCCATGTGCTGAGTGCCATGAGTGGGAGGGCAGCATGCCATGGGGTGCATAAACATAGGGCATTATAGGGGGGAGGGGACCCTATAATATGCCATGTGCTGAGTGCCATGAGTGGGAGGGCAGCATGCCATGGGGTGCATAAACATAGGGCATTATAGGGGGGAGGGGACCCTATAATATGCCATGTGCTGAGTGCCATGAGTGGGAGGGCAGCATGCCATGGGGTGCATAAACATAGGGCATTATAGGGGGGAGGGGACCCTATAATATGCCATGTGCTGAGTGCCATGAGTGGGAGGGCAGCATGCATGGGGTGCATAAACATAGGGCATTATAGGGGGGAGGGGACCCTATAATATGCTATGTGCTGAGTGCCATGTGTGGGAGGGCAGTATGGCATGGGGTGCATAAACATAGGGCATTATAGGGGGGAGGGGACCCTATAATATGCTATGTGCTGAGTGCCATGTGTGGGAGGGCAGCATGGCATGGGGTGCATAAACATAGGGCATTATAGGGGGGAGGGGACCCTATAATATGCCATGTGCTGAGTGCCATGTGTAGGAGGGCAGCATGGCATGGGGTGCATAAACATAGGGCATTATAGGGGGGGAGGGGACCCTATAATATGCCATGTGTGGGAGGGCAGCATGGCATAGGGTGCATAAACATAGGGCATTATAGGGGGGAGGGGACCCTATAATATGCCATGTGCTGAGTGCCATGAGTGGGAGGGCAGCATGGCATGGGGTGCATAGATATAGGGCATTATAGGGGGGAGGGGACCCTATAATATGCCGTGTGGAAGGGCAGCATGGCATGGGGTGGACAAACATAGGGCATTATAATATGCCATGTGTATGGGCAGCATGGCATGGGGTACACAAACAGGGCATTATAGGGGGGAGGAGACCCTCTAACATGTCAAGTGTGAGGGGCAGCATGGGGTGCACAATCTTAAGGCATGGGGGGGGGGGGGCTGTAACATGCAGAAAAGCATGTGGGGGGCAGCATGACGAGCCATTATATACAGTATAGGCATGGTCAGTGGATATATACACACATACAGTATATAAGTATATACATTAGATACATGTGTATGTTCAATAGATATATACCATATATGCACACACACACATTCAGTGAGTATATAAAGTGTGCGTGTATACGTGTTATTTCTGGATACTCAGTGAGTATGAAGTGTATATAATAAGTCCATGTTCCCTGGAGATTTGCAGTGTATATACTTGCATGCTCAGGGTTTATGTGTGCATTTTGGGTGTATAGTGTATATGTTTATACCAAATGCATATTCAGTGCACACACAGCATGCAGAGTTAGTATATAGTGTATCTATATGCACTATCATTGTGCATAAAGTATATCTGTTGGCATAATCAGTAGGCATACAATTCACCATTGTGCATGCTCTCAGCTCGTGTATGGTTTTTTTTGTATTCTGAGTGACTATATCTAACTGATATATGTATTAACTGGGTGGGTACATAATAAAATGTGGGTAATTCTATAAAGTTGAAGAAATGTAGCTGGAATTTGCACAAAAAAAAAAAAGACACCCAGGATGTAACCCTTGTGAAACAATATAGCAAGGAAATTGCACCTTACACTTTATTAATAATGAGCCAATATTATATAAGCATTTCCTCAATGCTCAATAACCTATTTTTTTGTTGCATAAGATGATATATATATATATATATATATATATATATATATATATATTACAATGCCTGCCCTCATGAGATGATTTGTGTGTATTCTTGTGTGTCCACACACTTTATGGTCATGCATGTATGCATTCTGAGGGTGATGGGGATTGCAGTCTATAAACAGCTGCAGTGAGGTTTTCCTGGCTTGACTCTAATAAAATAACTCGACAGGAAACTGGGCTTCCCTCTTTCTGTGAATGAATGATAAATTAACCCCTCCTTCACTGGCCATTGATAAGACACCCATAAACGTTCCCAGCTCTCTACACACCTCACTTGGTATGGGAAGGGGAGGAGAGGGGGTCATTTTACCCTGTGGACAGGTGACTGGCTATTGAAGTTTGCAGTAAAAAAAGTCAATGTGTATTTAGTGTGTGCAACTCAAGCACACACACCCTGCAGAAAAAATGTGTCGGTCACAGCAGCCTGTAACACACCCTGTGCAGGTTATACAGAAATCAGCATTTTTTGTCCCATCACCTTTTTTTTTGCATTAAAAAAACATTTTTGTTACTGTAACTAGGTTTTAGCAGATTCCTTCATTTATTTTTTTTCTGGACACACATCACAGTGACATTCTCTTGGGTATTAACATGCAAAGTGTTCATGTAGCATTTACAGGCTGCTGGAGTGAAATTAATTAGACAGAGTACATGTATTTAGGGACCCTCAATGATCAATTCATTGCTTTTACTACAGCTGTCTATGTGGGCTATACATTACATGGCAGCACATTTCATGCACAGTCCAACATGTTACCAAAAACATGGGAGAATAAGGAAGCCCTAACTGCAGCACATGTCCTGCTGCTGCCTGGGGACAATGGGAGTTATAGTGATCAAAAGCTAAAATTCTATATAGCCTATGCCTGGATGGGTTTGCAATTAATAAATCTCTCTTATAGCTCCAGGAGGTATTATATGAATGATGGTAGTAATACTAGTTAGAGTTAGTAAGGACTAGTTAGAAGCCAGTTAGCATGGTTTGATCAAGGATTACAATGTATCAGAACTGGTTGTCCTAGAATGTAAGGACTAATCAATTTCAGAGACTAGTTAACAGCACAGAATGGGGGGATTAATGTTCAAAGTGAGGGTTAATTTCCACAGTATGAGGACTGATTGCAATGTGAGGAGCTTGGCTATCAAAGCATGGGGATTAGTTTATCTGAGCCTGAGATCTCATCAGGGAGTGTAACCCTCCGCCCTGTGTGTGGTCAGACTTCTCACAATAAACCAGGGAACTCCCTATAATGAACAGCCTATAGACCCGGCACCCACAGGAGCCAATAGCAGAGCAGCTCTGTTACCAGGCGGATGAGGCAGATCTCAAAGAACCTCACAGGAGACAGAGTTAGGAATTTGTAGAATGGAGAGGGTTAATGTAAACTTTAAAAAAAAAATTACAAAAAAAATATATATAGGCCTTATTGATTGATCCTCCTCCTGGCAGAGAGATACATACTGAACTAACCATCATTTCCTAATGACATAATGATTTAGAAACCAATACAAAAAGTGTAATAATTTATTTAATGTATATTTAATAATAATTTTTTAAAAGGGTAGTTTTGTGTGATGTGTAATGGGCTGACTACATTTTACTCTTGCTGCTGCCAACATATACCACAGCTCTGTACAAAAAGCAATCTCCTTTTTGACCATTTTTGTAATTTCCTGCTAAATGTAACATTGAATTGCATTTGCATTTTTTTTCTAAGTTGATGAAATCGCAATAGTTTTAAAAATAAAAACCCCAAAACAAGTTTTTTCAGTGGCTTAGTAGGCGTAAAATGAAATTATTAAGTGCTTAAGGGAGAAATGGTTAAGAAAAAGAAAATACTTTCAATGTTTTCCTTATTTTAAATTTTTAAAAAATTTTTAATCAGTATTTTAAAAACACATCATGTGCTTCCTTTGACAAGTGATACCCTTTATCACAGAATATTAACAGGGCCAGGAATCGAAATGTAACTACTTATATTCATTAATTTAGCTCATGCTGCCTGTGAATGTAATAAATTAAAGAGCACTTTTCATGTGCTGTTCATCACCCTGAAGTAGTAATGGGTGTTGTGAAAAATATATCAACCCTGCTAGATACCCTTAGGTTCAGCACGGGGCTAATTCATTTGAATGGAGGGATAGACTATTCCTTTTAAAGTGAGCCAATAATCCCACACTTTTTACCACCTTACGCCACCATTATTTTTACCAATCTTTGCAGAGTGACAGTATAGTTTCTACACTAAAGACATGTTAGCCATATTAGATATTATCTATATCTCATACCTTTACTATTTTGGCCTACATCATGCAGGTCCGTTGCATTGTCGAAAAACAGATTTTTATTTTTTTTAAACCTAAAATATGTATTTTCTTAGTACAAAGCGATTTGTGTTGGTGACAGTAATATTTTTTTTGGTGCCAAGGTGCCATTTTGTACATAAAAAGCACTCTCTCTTGTTCCAGTACTTCCTGTCTGTGTCTGTAGTCTTCTCACTATCTGAACGAGTTAACATTCATATAAAATAGCCGTAGTGTTGCTGATAACTAAAATTGCGGAGCAGGGTAGTTGCAGAATAACAAGTACCAACTAAAAGTGTTGGCGAATGGCTTGTTCTAATTTCTGGAACTCCACGGGCCCCGGTTTTAACCTCATTGGGAGCGATTAGTACAGGAGATGGGCCTAAACTTCACATCTTAGTAAATACCTGCTTGTGCAGTAAAAGCATTTATTGGCTTTGTTTTGGTAGGTTTGTTTGCTGTAAGCAATTAACTGTTTCAAACTATCAACTAACTTTAAATTAATTTAGAGTTCTGGACCCTGCTGTCCAATGATTTAAGAATGAAAATTGTTTCTGTTTGGTATGTATATGGTATGTTTGTGTGTGTGACGTTATAGAGGAACTGTTACATCTCAGAATGTGACAACTCCTTAATCCCCCCACCCTAGTAAACACTATTGAAGCATTCACTGGGTGAGGAGTACAG